TTGCAGAGTTCAACCCAAAACAGATGCTTTCTCTTCTTTCCAAATTTCTACTGCATGTGGCCCCTCTCCAGTCTCTCATCCCTCCCCCTCTGCACTCCCACAAAAGAACCTGAATTGGCTGAGCCTTCCCCTGAGGCCATCCCTCTTTATTGTCACCGTATTTGCTGGCATAATAATAGTGGCTTTTATTCTGTTGAAATCTTACCGTGTCGGATACTTATGAATATTATTTCAAACCTCATCGACATTACCATTACATCCACTTTTCATTACAGGAAAAGGTTAGGAAGTTAAGTGAACACAAAGCTTAAGACCAGTAGCGACCCAGGGGGACTTGAGCCAGGCCTGTCTGGTTGTCCGTCCACAGCCATATTTTTCAGGGGAGAAAGTCTGAAAGTCCATAAGATTATTTAATAGACATGTATTGAATAACCCTCTAGGGATTAGATTGCAATTCTAGCAAGAGTGGAGAGAGAGAGAGAGAGAGAGAGAGAGAGAGAGAGAGAGAGAGAGAGATATCAGGTAGGCAGAACAAACAAGAGGGGACACTTTCCTTTAAGAGCCGGGCATGGTGGCACATGCCTATAATCCCAGTGGCTCAGGAGGCTGAGGCAGGGGGATCGTGAGTTCAAAGCCAGCCTCAGCAAAAGCGAGGTGCTAAGTAACTCAGTGAGATCCTGTTTCTAAATAAAATACAAAATAGGGCTGGGGATGTGGCTGAGTTCAATCCCTGGTATCCCTCCTCAAAAAAAAAAAGACAGGGCAGAAGGCCATACCTCTACAGCTGAGTTCAAATCCTGCCCCCCACGTGGGCCAGCTGTGTAGCTTTGCATGAGCTTTACCTCTGAGCTTTCAGGTGCTTGTCTTTAGACTAGTTTTGGCTCGGCTTCTCTCAGAGAGGAGTGTGAAAGTTAAGTGATAATGTGAGTAAAATGTACCTAGCAAAATTCTTGATGAATCTCCATTCCCCGCCCCCCCCCTCACTTCCCTCATCTTGGAAGGGTTCTGCGTGTGTTCTTCCCACAGTTGTGATTCACATCAGGCCCCAATTCTGCATTCGCTTTGATACAAATTGATGAGAGAGGAATGGGTTAAAATAAAGTGAACTGAGGGAGTCCTAATCCCGTAAGGCAGAGGATTCCAAGGTCCAGGGGGTTTCTCGGTTCCAGCGGGTGATCCATTCCACCAGGTTTTAATCCTACATTTCTAACGCATTAGAACCTCACAGCCGCACCACTAATCCTTCCATTAGGAAATAAAATTTTAATTAAAAATAAGAAATCATTCATAGAAGGTATAAAACACAGAGAGGTAAGGAGATCATGTTGTAGAGAGAGCCTGGGGGCAGAGACAGGAAAAAGGCAGGGCATGAGTCCCAGCTCTAAGGCCAGATACCCCTGGGAAAATCATGATTTCTTCTGGGCTCACTTCCTCACTGGTTGCAATGGTTTGAATGTGTTCCCCAGATGCTCATGTGTTGGAAACTTAATCCCCAAATTTATTTATTAATGGTACTTAGAGGTGGTTGCCACTGGGGTACTTAGGATTAGATGATGGGGCCCCTATCCTACCATTAGAAGATTTATAAGAACAGGAAGAGAGACCCAAGCTGGTATGCTCACTCTGTCTCACCATGTGATGCCCTCTGCTGTGCCATGATGCAGCCAGAAAGCCCACAGCACATACCAGCACCATGTTCTTGAACTTCTCAGCATCCAGAATCGTGAATTAAATGTACCTCTGTTCTTTATAAATCATCCAGCCTGTGGTACTCGGTTATAGCAACAGAAAATGAAGAAGATGCCAGTAAAATTCTTAAATTTTTATATCTCTAGCTTCTATAAGATTCCAAGAGTAGATGATTTACAGAAGAGATTATTTTAAGTGTTAAGAACTTGGTTTCTGTTTAAAGAACATGAATTCAATGTACCCCAAATCAAATCAACCAGAGGCTTGATTTATTCCGAATTCACCTTACAGTGTTTTCTGTTTCCTTCTTTTCTTCCTTTTTTCTTTCTGTCTTTATTTTTATTTCCTTTACCTGTTGTAGTGGTTATGATTGCTATTATCATTATTTGTTTTTTTTCTCTTTTCTCTTGTAATTTATTTTTCTATTCTCCACTTCTGTTAATTTTTCCTCTTCAATTGATTCTAATATAAAAATGAAGACATAATTGGAGATATTTTATTTAAATTTTTTTGAATATTTATTTCATATTCTTAATTTTAATATTAGATGGGTTGAACATATATTTCTGTCTCTTGATAACATACATTAATTATTATTATTATCATTATTTTCTTGTGGTCCACTGATTTTTTTCCCCTAATTGATGAATATATATGTATATTCATTCCCATGACAGGAGAAATAAGAAGATTAGTCCAGGGGAAGTTCACACTAGAGAAATAGCAGATTCCTAGAAGACACTGTGAATTTACTGTGTTTACCCCTTCCTTTTATATTTTCATTATAAAAGTAGAGATAACTACTTGACCATAAAAGAAAAAAAGTTTGTGTTTGTCAATTGCTGTGACAAAATACCTGAGAAAATGAACTTCATAAATAAAAAAAGGTACATTTTGGCTCATGGTTTCAGCGCATGGTAATTTGGTTCTATTGCATTAGGCCTGTGATAGGACAGTGTGTGGGTGGTAGGGTGTGGTAGAGTAGACCTGTTCATTCATTGGCCAGGAAACAAAGAGAGAAAGAGGATGGGAGCGGGTACCCAACAGCCCATCAACAGAATGCCCCCGGTGACCTAATTTCCCTCCACCAGGTAGGTCCTACCTTGTAAAGGTTCCACCACCTCCCAATGGTGCCACAGGCTGGTGGCCAAGCCTGTAACACACAGGCTTTTGGGAAGCTTTCAAGATTCAAACTCTAGCAGGGTTTTCAATATCATTTTCACCTCATGTGCCTACGAGAAAGTATACTTTTCTGATCTAATCAGAACAAAATTAAAAATAAATGTCAAAATCAGAAAAAAAAAATGCAAGAGGGGTTATCTTCACATTTGCCACAGCTACTTAATCATTCAGAGTGGAAACCGTGCTCCTTGTGACCGAGGCAGGGAGGCTGTGCCAGGCCCTGCTCTCCAGAGGGCTGTGGGGGCCACTCACCCTTCAATCAGAGTCTCTTATCTCTGATGCCCAAGTCTGAGACGGAACTGGCCACTCGACATCATTCGAGTGCCCCTTGAGCCCTCCCTGCACATGGGGCACCTCTGTGGACTCCTGGACCCTGGGTGGACGTCCAGCAGAGCACCTGCAGTGCCTTCTCCTTCTTCATTGACTAAGTCACCTGGGACCCCTCTTCCTTCTGCCAGGCAGCAAAGACCAGAGGGCAGGGGCTTGATGTGCTTGTTTCTTTGTATTTCTACCCAGGTCCTCATGGGAAGAAGGGTTGAATAAATCACCAAATGAACATACAAGTTGCCCTGAGCTCAGGGAGAGGAGGATTAAACACACACACACACACACACACACACACACACACACACACCCTCTGGAGATAATAATGCAAAATTAGGCAAGTAAATAAATGAACAGGGTAACAAATTGATTAGTCAACAACAATGAACAAAGGGCGTGAGAAAGATGCCCAGCAGGGTTTTGGGGAGCGGAGACACCCAGCTGAGGGACCTTGACCTTCTTTTTGGCATCAGGGATTGAACCCAGGGACACTTAACCACGGAGTCAACATCCCCAGACCTTTTTAATTTTCCTTCTGAGACAGGGTCCTGCTAAGTTGCATAGGGACTTGCTAAGTTGCTGAGGCTGGCTTTGAACCCGCCATCCTCCTGCCTTGGCCTCCCTCGCCGCTGGGATTATAGTTGTGTGCCACGGCACTTGGAAGCACCTTGGCTTTTTAATGAGTCTTCACAAACTTTGTGTTACAGATTGGAGGACTCGGGTCAAACAACTTGATGAGCAGCATGGCAGGGAATCACGACCCCAAGTGTCATAATTGCTATGGCCGTGCGACAAGCAAGGTCTCAAGTGCTCTCTCATTTACATAGCCCGGGCATCTTCGAGGTCCTGTCACCAGGCTGAGGCTTGAAGAGCTGGCCTGACACAGCCATGGTGACAGAGCTGCTAAGTGGAGGAGGCAGGTTTGAACCCAGGCTCCAAGCTTTGTCATCTTCATTGTTGCTCTACAGTGACCATGTTCCCTTCTGCCACGCGACCAGGGCTGGCTTCATGAAAGAAGGTTCCATTCATAAGTAATTGCTAGGGAGTTTTAAATTAAAGAGACAGACTCTCATTACCTTTAACACCAGCTCTGAGACAGCTTCTCCTAGCTCCCGCCTCCAGCCACCTAATGCGGTGGCGAGGTTTACAGAAGAGAGAGAGAGAGAGAGAGAGAAAGAGAGGGAGAGAGAACACGCCAGGGAGTGAGCTTTTATTGGGGAACAAAAAATTCCAGGGAAAATCCCATCCAATGAAGGTTAAGGGGGCAGCATCCCAAGGTCAGGGGCGACGATTGGGTCTTCAGGACAGTGGCCAGGCACACCTCTGCAGGGACAAGCCCTCGGACCTGGGAAAGGGTGGGGAAGGGCTCAGACACAGCTGTGTCTAAGCGCCTCTTGTGCAAGATTGGCCGCCCGCATTCCCGACACTGACTTACTGTCACCAGGTGAAGAACTGCTAAGTACAGAAATAACAATAACCTGGAGTCAGTCCAGCATGGTCACCTCGAACGTAAAGGACTCGGAAAGTATAGGAAGGATCTGAGTGAGTGTCATTCCTCATTTCTCTCTCTCTGCCTGCCTGCCTGACGTCTGTCTGTCTGTCTGTCTCTCTGTCACACACACACACACACACACACACACACACACACACACACACACACCCCACTCTTGCACTCTCTCCTTTCAACCCTTACTCAACGCCAACCTCTCCTCTCAGGAGTGACAGGAACTGACTTCATCATACAATGGTCCTGCTGATATTTTGCCTTTGGAGAATTCGACTGAAGACCCCTTGGGGCATCTTACCTTAAACAGTTGCTTTATCCACAAAGAGGGGGGACCAGAAATCAGAAAGTAAGACAGGACGTCCAGCTTCCTTAGCCAAGCAGGACCCACGTGCTGAGAGAACTGGAGCCACCATAGGCAAGAGTTGGTCCTCTCTGGCAAGTCCAGGGGTCTCTACCCAGGGTCCAGTGGTCTCTCACCAGGGTCCCATATCCAGCTCACACCATGGTGCTTTTCTTCCCCAGAGGGGCAGGATCTTTCATATGCAGGCCCGGCCCCCTCGCCCAGTGGGCCCCAGGAGTGCTCTGTGGCACCATCACCAGGCGTATGGAGGGCTGGGCATCCACGGTGGCCTCGGGAGCATCCTCCTTACTGGGGTCCTTGCCTCGGCAGTCATAGAGCACACAGGAGACGAGGAACACCAGGAGCAGGATGACGTAGCTCACCACTAAGATAATCAGGTTCAAGGTGACGGGGTCGATCTCCAGGTAGAACTCCATCACCTCTCCCACAGTGGGGACTCGGACCTAGCGGAAAGGCATTTAGGGTCAGTTTTGGCCTGGCAGGGAGCAAACTGTGGTTCATTAGAATAGCTCCATGGACTCTGCTGTTAAAAAAACAAATACAATAATCCCCCCTGCTCCAGGAAACCTTGAGGATTAGAGCTGCTCTGTTTAATAACTTAAGCTCTGGCTGTTAATACCCCAGAGCCACCAAATCACAGACACCGTCTCTCCCCAGTTCCCCTACACAGAGAGAGAAAGAGAAGGAGAGATGGTTCTCCTGCTACGAAATCCCGGTACGTAGGAGCGACCACAAAAAAATCCCCCATGGAATTTTTGGTGAGCCAGAGTGCCGTCAATAAGCACACGGAGATTAAAGTTAAGAACCTGGATGGTCCTGGGCCAACTGCATTGTTTTCAATTAGTAAGGAAAGTTCAAGGCCAAGTATGGAGTGATTGGGGCTATCAAGCCGGTGGCCTTTGGGAGTGGTGGTATTTCTTTCACAAGAAGACAACACGGGTAGCTGGCATTTTTACCCTCTCTTTACCTTTTTTCCCCCACTCATCAATTAAAAAATACTTCTAGTCCATCTCCTGTGTTTCAGGCTCTGTGCTAAGCAAGGAAGGTGTGACAGGAATAAGATACAGATGCATTTAGTCACCTGGGGAAAAATGGAAGTTAAACAAATAACTGCACAGGGCACCCTCAAGGAAGGCTGGGAATAGTGGGTCACAAGAGAAAACAGACAGATCCCAAGAAGCAGCAGCTCCTGTGAAGAAGCGGCACTTAACCTTTGACCTGAAGGATAAGTGGAATTTAGCTAGGAGAAGTGAGGTATGGAAAGTTCTCTGGCTACAGAGAACAGCCTCTGTGGACGCTCTGAGCAGCAAAGGCCTGGGCAGTGGGAGGAACTGGAACAAGGACAGTGTGAACTGGAGCATCCAGAGAGAATGGGGAGCGCAAGGTGAGAGAGGAAGGCAGGGGCTCAGGTGGCACAGGGGCTTGTGGGCCACTGAGAACCTCAGACTTCCACCTTGAGCAATGGGACGCCACTCAATAGCTCAGGTAGGGGAGTGACACCATCCATCTGCATTTTTAAAAGATCCTTGGCTGCTGTGTGGATCAGGAAGACATGCAAATTAAAAGGAAGATGGATACAGATTAGAACATGCTTATTGATTTACAATCTTTCTCTTGTCTCAGTGGTAGCTCTGTCTCCAGACTCCTAAATAGGGCCAGCCAGCTTCCTGGGTGTGTAATTGTGCAGGAGACCAAGGCCCTTTGCTCAGAGTACTCGTTTGGTTTAATGCTTTACTCTTACTATCTTGAAACTATTGATGATTTTTAAATTTTGCATTGAGTGCCATAAATTATATATCTGACTTTGGTCTCATATGTATTTTGGTGGTCCCAAACAGTGTACCAGTAGCCATTTCTCCAACAACTAATGGGATTCTCTTGATACTTATAGTTAAAGGCAGGTGCTTCCAGAGGTTGGCTGTTTTCCTAACATTGATAAGCTTTAGTGGACTGGCAGCTTTTGGCCAAGCTCCTTGATACCCAGCTTCCATGGGAAATTGAAAGGTCAGGGGTGCTGTAGAAGGGAGTTCTTATTCATCAGGAGACCTTGCCCCCCTATCCCCCAAATAAAATACTTCCTGATTCTCTGCTCCTGGAGTAACCTGTGGGATTATACTCAAGAAGATATGAACAGTTCTTATACACCAGAGGTTTAGGGGTAGCCTCACTGGAATCCTTTGGCTTCTTAGGAATACAGATTCTGTGTCAACCACATCGACTGAGTTACAATCTTTGGGGCTTGAGTCTGGGAGTCTGCATTGAATAAAATTCTTCATGCATAATTTTGATATGCAACCAGGATAGAGAGTCCTGGACATGAAGAGTGAAAAGAGGATGTGAAGGAAAAGGATCAGCAACCAGGGGTCTCGATCGGGTGTCAAAAAACATCCCAGCTGGCATTCAACACAGAATTCAAGGCTCTGAGTCCAACAGGTTCAGAGAACGAATTTTGTCCAGAGGAAAAATTTTTTTTTCATGGTAGCAATTCACATTTACCAAGCTCGTAAGAGACTGATGTTAAAAATACAGAACAGCAATGCATGAAGCTTCCGTGACCAATGCCATTGTTCCAGGGTTGGGAGTGGCTTGTACTCCAAAGACCACAGCTTTTCTTCCTGGAGGCTCATCTACAGGAAGAAATTTCCATCAATCATTGGGAAGTCTCCTGATGAGCACACAATCCCAGGAAGTGGAGGGGTCCCCGTTGCATCTGGAAATCACATGCTACACAACCGAGAGGAAGCAAGGCTTTAAAAGCAGCACTGTATTCCAGATGACTGCTCTCTTTCACCCACGCTCAACTCCAGATTCTTGACTTCAATAGGGAACTGAGCTTATGGCCCTGGTGCCTCCATGTAACCATTTAGGGGAGTTCTTTGGTGCCTTTAAATAGGACGGCACAAGGATTTGTTAAGAATTGACTCTGAAATGAGAACTACCTACGGCATGATCTGCATTAGATTAGAGTGATCTGCATTAGAGTCTACGCAACATCTCGGTTCTGTGGAGTGGAGTTTTCACAATCCGTTCTAGGTTTCTCACTGTAGTGGTGATACTCCTTCACTGCAGGGGTTGATCTGGACGGCCTTCTTGCATTGTCCCAGCTGTGCTGATCTTCCCCTGGGGTCCCAGAAAGTTATTCAAGATCACTGTTCTTGACTCCAGTATCTTATTACTATTTGCATACTTTTTTTTTTTTTTTTTGGTCTCTGTTTTGCCCAGTGCTCAGAGTTCATTTTAAGTTCATCCTCCTCCTGGAGGCTGCACTTCCTTTCAGTGTCTTGGGTGAACTGTTGCCTACCTATTTTACTGATGTAACCTGGAGGATGTCTGCTTTATTCCTATTGGGGCCAATTTCCCATCTTGCCTCAGTTCTGTGTCTTTCAAGGACTTTCTTCTTGCGCCATCTAGTGGCCAAAGCAGAGGCTGCTCAAGAAAGAAAACATTTGTAGGCCACAGGGAAATGAGGATGGTCAGTCCTACTTAGCAGAACAGGGGCCTGTAGCTGTTAACAACACATTTCAGAACAACCCCTTGAAATTGTCAGGACATACTCATTCCTTCATTCACTACCAACATGAATTGCACACTTACTATAGGCTGGCGAGGTGCTAGGCATTTTGGAGCTTGATTATGTGATGAATAATGAAATTGCACTACACACTCCATGTGAGAGAACTCCGATGAAAAAATGAATTATTAAGCCCATTTCTGGAAAGAGAAAATTGAAGCTCAGAGAAGTCATGTAATTCTAATGAGCTCATTCTTCCCCCTCTTACTCTGTCACCTCTCTTTTCTAGTGCCTGAAATATGAATCAAATTCCTACATGGAATGCCCTATGTTGTGGGGTATTTGAAACTCCTGGGATCCTTACCTGTATGCACATTTATTTGCATTACAGTCCATTTTAACTGCTGATCTGGAACATGACTTCCTAATGCCAGGCAAATGTGTGTCCTGTATAGTTGCGAAATTCTAGTTGTATTTCTAGGCAACTGGAGTTTATTGCTTAAAAATACCAAAAATATTTTTTTTGTGTGTGTGATTTTACTCTTCTGGAAGGGGAATTTACCTCTGGTATTACATTCAGAGTGCCTTGTGTCCTCAATAAAATATAGTATCACAAAAGTCTTAGTGCAGTGTTAGATTTTAATAACTCCAGGGCTGAAAAAATGTCACAAATATCCCCCAAAGACCATTGGAAATTTCATTGTTTTCAGGATACTATTTTTTGAGCACATTTAGACTCAGTGACAGAAACAAGGCTTTAAGGCAGGTTTTTTTTTTTTTTTTTTGAATTCTAGTCTAGTTGCCTTTATTCACTGGAACTCTCAACTAGATAGAGTGAAACATGAAAGGGCAATGGATGCTGTATAAGCTGGCATAGCGAGAATGACAATAATGACAAAAACTGAATGCTAGGCACCTATATTTTCAAAAGACAACTTGCCCTTCAAATCTGCACTGAGGACATAGCCCTCCTCCCAATCCACTGCCCTTCTCAGCTTCCCATTTATAGCCTAGTGGGTTGCTCCTCTGGGAACCCCTGGAGAAATGCTGCCACACTTTTATCACAGAACAATTTTATCATTGAATAGTATGCCCCTCACCCCAATTTATATCCACATGGAACCTCAAAATGTGACTTTATTTGGAAACAGGATCTTTATAGATATAAATAGTTAAGATGAGGTGTTACTGGATAAGAGGGTGTCTTGAATCCTGAAAGAACGAACAAGGCTTGTCATTGGAGCAAATGCCGTTTATTGAGGAACAGCTCTGCATATTTATAGAGCCAGGGGTGGTTTGACAGTTGGCATGGGGTGCTTTTTGATTGGAGGGTAAGGATCAGGTGAGCCAGCAGGGCTAGTCTGATTGGTGGGTAGGATCAGGTGAGCCAACAGGGCTCTGATTGGTGGGTAAGGATCATGTGAGCCATCAGGGCTCTGATTGATGGGTAAGGATCATGTGAGCCAGCAGGGTTCACCATTGGAGGCTCTTCTTGGGAGATGGGGAAGTTAGTCTTTGGAGCCAGGGTGACTCCCGACAAATCCAGTTACTGGTGTTCTTATAAACTGATCATGTGAAGACAGAGAGACACACAGAGAGGAATACCTTGAGAAGATGGAGGCAGAAATAGGAGTGAGGTGTGTATAAACCAAGGAACACCAGAAGCTGTGAGAGAGGCAGGGGACAGGTGCTCCCTCAGAGCCTCCGGAAAGAACCAGCCTGCCGCCATCTTGATTTCGACTTCTGGTCTCCATAGAAGTCAGGGGATAGATCTCATTGTTTTAAGCTACTCTTTTTAATTTTATGTTCTTAGAAAAATTCTAGGGAACTAATGGATGACCTATCTAATGCATAGATTAAAAAAAAAAAGCCAGAAATGGCTCAGAGAAAACTGAAGTATGTTAAGTTCTTTCAGATCTTCCTCTGTTTTCTTTTGGCACTTGCTCTTTATGATTCTGCTCCCTTTT